GGGGGGGGAGGGGGGGGGGGGGGGGAGTTAGCGCAGTCGATAAGAAACTCGCTTTTAAATCCAGCTGCGACTCGCTGCAGCCCATGGTCGGTTTTCGAAACTTGGCGGCTTCCGGGGTTCACCCAGCCTCTAGGAAATGGGCACCAGAGGGATACTCTGGGGTAAATGAAGGAACGTCGCTGTAGCTACAGAGTTACATGCGAATGCGACACAGGCGGACAATTCTTATCAGCTGTCCGTATTGATGGCAGAGCACTTATGGTTTCTAACAGTGTGCAATGACGCTGGTTCACATCTCCCGACTTTACCTTTACCTTTTTTTTTAACTTCTTTTTAACTATAAGGTATACTTGTTTTATTATATACAGTCTTTTATATAAATATCTGCTTGTCCGTTTGTCTATAACTAATGTAAAGGACCTTTTTCACACCAGTGGTGTATCAGGCACATGCTGCTACACTCATAATGGACCAGTCAGTATCACACCAACTGCCTTTACTTCCCAGAACTTTACCTGATAATCATTATAGGCTTAGCTAAAAATCTGACTTGATATGGATTTGAGTCCAGGGCCTTCAAGCCAACAGATGAGCATCTAGCTGCATTATAAGCGTGTTTTTTTTTTTAAATTGCATTCATAGTCTGTTACCATATTTGTTAGTGCAACAACATCCCTCTTTTCATAACTTCATCTTCCAGACTGCTTTCCACCTGCTGTGCAAAACTTTGATTGCCGCTCCACATGTGTGTCTCGATTGCGTTTGCACACTACCATTGTCCTCTAGTTATAGTGTGTGAATTGCAACTATGAGGTGTGAATTTGTTTTAAAATTACACAATACAGCTACTCCAGAATTGTCAACTACTGCTGTAGCTGAGCCTTTGGTTATTGTAATATCAGAGGCTTCATCTTCTGCAATGCAGATCTTCAATTTCTAACATGTGAGCCTTCAATTTATGTAACATCAGAAACTTTAACTTGTGTAACGTTTGAGCCTCAATATCTGTAACATCTGAGCCTTCAAATTCTGTAACATTTAAGACTTGAACTGAAAAATGAACTTATTTTGCACAAATAATAACACTGACCACCTTCATTCCACCAAAAAATTATACAGAAAAGCAATGAACCAAAAACTAGTTACTGGTTTTAATAATGACAATAACAATAATATCTTTTTGTGAACGAGATAGAAGAAGAATTCTATATAAATTTTTAAGTTTTCTTGCTGTAAATAAAACTTGAAAGAAGGGCGCTGTTTGTTTCTCATTTATTTTGATGAGCATTTTAAACACATTTTAAAGGAGTTGCTTTAGTGGAGCTGACATTAAGAAATAATGAAACACATAACAATACAGTAGTAAGCTCAGTTTAAGGAGAGGAAAAGACCTTCATGAATGTCCACATTATGTATTAGCTGCTGCATGTTGACCTTGTTGGTTATTTAATAAATTTCTTGTTTTGTTTGCAGATAAAGAGTCTGATCAAATAGTTAATTTATATTCGTGGACCCTTTTTCCTCTTCATACATTGAGCCTTCTAGTCATAAAATGTGTTGTGTTGAGTTGCCATTTGGAGACATGATCGCATAATGGCTAGATTCTCACCTGCTAGCCTGAAGATTTTCATATCAGTTACTGATGGCAGCACATTTTTTTTCTTTAATATTGGCCTTGGCTCCCAGGTAAACCCAGCCTACAATGAGTATCAGGTAATGTCCTGGGAAGTAAAGGGAAACAGCATGATGTTGACAACATCCCCTATTGTGCGCTGATGGCATTATAACGGTATGAGTCAAGCATCACATGCCAGATGCGCCAGTGTCATAAACAGGAGTTTATTTTTGTTACCATTTCATGAGCATGTGTGTGACCTGAATTATTGTGCTGATAGAATTTTTATGTTTATGTTACACAAAAACAAATTATAAATTATAATTCAAAGTGACAACAGTGAAGATATTTTCTTGTTAGCATTCCCAGGCTATAAATTCCAGCTGAAAGTTTGGTTGCCACTTTTGGAATGTTGTCCTGTTTCAGATCTACAGTTCTGTATGCATATCATTTCACAGATCTGAATTGTTTGTACCTGGACTGTTTGTTCCTCAAATTTGGGGAGGGGGGAGCAATAAGTTCTGTCCTCTCCCCCTCCCTCCAACCACCAAATGCAGTCCCGGAACCCACACAGAGAGTGTGAAGATATAAGGTAAACAAATAAAAACAAAAAAAGATGATAATGTTATAAAAGGGATTGCTTATATTCATCCCCAGTGCGTTGTTACTGACTGCCCTGAAAGTACTGACATATTGTGCTTGAACAGTTTAACATTTTGGGAAATACATATTAGACCAGTGTAATAAACAAGAGTTAGTGTGCACATGTGAGTACAGCAAGATAGCAGGATATAAAGGTGTGTTGAGAGATTATCTGTTCCTATTGCACATTCTCCACTTCCCTCCTTCTTTGTTATATTATTTTGTTTCATTTCTTTTTTTGTCTGGGCCTTATTCTGCTCTTTTTTTCCTTTTTATTGTTTTTCTTCCTCGCCCTTATTCTTCTATCTCACTTTTTTCCCTTCTTCTTCTCTTCTATTTCTTCTCTTATTCTTTATTTATTTATTCTTCTGCTTCTTCTTCATCATCATCTTTTTCTCATCCTCCTCCTTTGTCTGCTTTATCATCATCATCATCTCATCCTTCTTCCTTGTCTGCTTCATCATCATCTTCTTCTTATCCTCTTTCTTTGTCTGCTTCATCATCATATTCTCCTCCTCCTTTGTCTGTTTCAGCATCATCATCATCATCTTCTCCTTTTCCTTTGTCTGCTTCATCATCATCCTTATCTTCCCCTCCTCCTCCTTTGTCTGCTTCAGCATCATCATCACAGTCTCCTCCCTTCAAACCACATACCTGCTTCTATCACCTTTATCCACTTGCCTGGTTATCTGGCTTTGGTATCATATACAGTTTATTTGATGTGTTGTATTTATAACCTGCACCTATTCAAGAGCAGAGACATGACCACAAAGAAAATACAGTCAAGGACAGTTTAGTAAACCAAATGAATTTATGCTTCAGATTCTATTAACTCATTCAATACTTGGCAACTTACCACATGTTAATTGAAGTTACCTAACATGCTATGCCTTTCTGAGCACTTTCACATATCTATCTGTAGTTTCAACCTATATTATCCCAATTGTTACCTCAGTTGCTTTTTTCTCGTAGTGTAACATTTTCTGACCAATTGACGATTACTTGAAGCAACTATTATTTAGGAATTTAGGAGTTAACAGGTTTCTAAGACTGAAAAAGTTAACGTCTAGTACAAAGAGCTCACTGTAAGAACTGGCACTGACTTTGTCAGTGTCCTGCACTCCCTGTCTTAGCAGATCAGCAATATGAGAATCAGCTACATTTAAATTAATTTGTCTAGTTTACCCCCCCCCCCCCCCCCCTTCTTTTTTAAACGAATCATATGATTGCCCCTGAAGTGCGGCACCCGAAAATGCTGAGATTGTGCTCCAACACTGTCAACTTTATGCTGACAACAGAGACGCAATCTAGCCTGTTTCAACAACAATGAAGACAAAGCTGTATGGTACACGAGAGGATATGGACTGCACGATAGCTTTCATAAAGCCTCCTGATATAAGTTTTCTGACAGAAGGATCGAAGAAGAAGATATGATTGCCAGAAAAAATTAAATGCCGATTTTTTTTGCAGTCGCATTTCTGTAAGTTATTTTATGGTAGCATCACATCCGTAGTCTCTGACTTACCCACTTTTCTTACAGCTCGTTGGAAAGCAGGGATTTCTGTGCATAGTAGAATAATTCATTTAAATAAAGAAATTAACTTCATAAGTCCCATGCAAAAAATAAAGAGCTTTGAATGGGTTAAGTTTCTGTTTTCACTTGTTAGTCCTTCCTAGCCAGAATCAATACTGTAATGAACCCCTTGACTACCATGCCTGTTGAATAGTATGGTGCTTTATATAACCTACCCCAAACAGGGAAAATCCACAGGTCACAGGGCAGTCTAATATTTCAGGGGGTGGTAGGCTGCATGCAGTCCTGGGACCTAGGCTGCATGCAGTCATTGGACCTAGGCTGCACTCTCTTGTGGGACCTAGGTGGGTTGGGGTTAGGGCCAGTTCTAGATGTTTTGGGGTCGTTAAAAGCATTAGAAAGTCGGAAAAACCCAGTCTCACCCCCTCTAAAATAGTGGACTCTCCTGTGACATCATAAGGGGTAGGATAATAATTATGAACCAAAAGTATAAAAGGGCTCTAAATTTGCCAAACTCCACATAGAGTGAATCAACTTAGTTGAGAAATAAAAGAGTCCATTATTGCATTCCAGTATTTCTGCAAAACACTTCTAGAAATCTATGTGTTGACATGTAGTGGACAGTTCTGATTAAAGTCTCTCTGATTACTATTACTAATCATAATATGAAATTTATTTCCAGAAATGCACCTCCTGTCATTCAAATGCTTAATTAATCCAGATCGAAGGTTGGCTGGGTAGACCTCTAATACTCTGTTACTGTTGTCGTTGTTATGTACTGCCTGAGATTGTTGTTCATTCAGCTTCTGATATTAACCTCTCATTTGTATTGTCGACTACCTCTTGCTGGCTTGTCGTCAACTTTCCATCTATCATGCTTTCAAAATTATTGTTTGTCTTTTAATATAGTTAAAATATTTCACTTGTCTTTGTGTAGATTTTTTGTTTGCTTTTTCGCCAGCTTTCTTTTTCAATAATAGTCTCTTCAGAACTCATCTGTTTTTTTTGGGTTTTTTCTTCCTAAGATGCATCTGATTTTGAATATCTACATCTCCAGAGACTTAATTTGATTTTCTAGCTTAAAGAAACTGCTTTTTAGCGCGAGATATTACAGATATATTCTAGCTTACCTCTCGTTATTCTCACTATTAATTCGCATATGGTAATAAAATATCAGTTGGTAAAAACGGTAAACATTTTCTTTGGCATTCATGATTGTCCTAACAAGTACATCAGAATAGTGAGTATAAACAGGGCAGGATATCGTTCTATTGGCCGTCCATTTGGTGCCGCGTTGTCCACATTGCATTCAGACTTATGATTGCAGCAAGAGACGCACTCCAAGTAACGTGCAGCATCGGTACAGCCGGGCTTGCAGTAAGAAGCACAGTATCTGTCAAACGTCACCAGATCTCCGTCTTTGTGTAATCGCCGAACCTGAAATATAGTTATAAATAAAACCTGAAATGTAGTTATAAATAAAACCTGAAATATAGTTATAAATAAAACCTGAAATGTAGTTATAAATAAAACCTGAAATATAGTTATAAATAAAACCTGAAATATAGTTTAAAATATCGTATGGTCAGGAAACAAATTTGGGGGGTTAGGGGGGGGGGGGGGTCCAATTACTTCTTTGCGTTATCAGTTGTAAATGTAGGTGGAAAGTCCTGGTTGTTCGCCCACTTCTAGAATTGGTCTTGTTCCAGGGCTTGAGTTTTTGCTTGCAATTCCTTGTCACAGATCTATCTTATTTGTAAACACACAGTTGGTTTCTTGTCCTTCTCTCTCGCAGGTGCACTCCGACTTCGAAGGGAACGTCCATCCTATCTGTGTTGGCAACACCTGTTTCTAGTATGACCTCGGAGAACGAACGACCATTTATTTTTAAAAGGTCACAAATTAGGTACAGGCCCGTCTTACATTCGGACCTTCCAAATACCTATCTTTCACACAGCAGTTGTATTTTATTAATAAAGCATGTTCATTTAATAATATACACATAATATGAAAGCCAAGCCAAAAACAAAAGAATGAGTGGTAAAATGCATGCACAGACTCGCGCGCGCACACACACACGCAAACCCATTCACTCGCTTACACACGCACATAGGCACCCTGTAACACACACATACATGCACACACACTCACGTAAATACATAATACATACATGTGTGCGTACATACATACACGCGTACATGTATACACACAGAGACACACACATAGGCACCCACTACACACATACATACTCACACGCATCCACATACATGCATACATACACACACATACATGCGCGTACATACATACATACACACACACACACACAGACACGCATAAGCGCACACACACACACACAAGCACAGACACAAACAACAGTGTTAGACGGATCTTGAACAGTATGAGCTTTGGTTCTGATGGTCTCTAAAGTATATAAAAGACCACTTTCCACGCCTTTCGGGGTATTAGTCATATACGGTAAGACCTATATTTTATAGATCAAGCGGCCCTGAATAGGTGATGTGGTCAGTACTTAAGGCATTGTTTATCTGGGAGCCAAGATCGTTTAAAAAAATCCGGCTCTGTTAGGATCCAAACTCTCACCCTCCCGATTCGCAGGCAATCGCTTAGCCGCTACACCAGGGCTATTCAACAAAGTTTGCTCGTGGGCCAAATTGTTAATCATGGATCTCGTCGCGGGCCAGTGGCCCCGAGCCCACACTACAACTGACAACATTTTCATTCGTAGATTTAATACACTCTAAAACTACTACGCTTAGAACTTAGCCTATATAAATGAAGCAGTGTTGTAAACCATTATAATGTAAAGTGTACTACAATCTTTTGCAATCATTAATAAATACTCACTTTTAATTCTTCTTCTTCTTCTTATTCATCGGCTGTAAACTCGGGCGGATAATTATGGTTGTTCGAATACTTCTGGACTCTTGTCCTGTTCCAGAAACTGAGTGTTGCGTACACATCCGTTTTACATGTCTTACTCAAGTGCATGTTGAATGTTGGTCCTTAAGCTCGCAGTCAGATGTATTATAGTACTGGCTCCGTCTCAATCCCTTTCCTGATATGTTCACTTCTGATCTTGTCTTTTCTTGTTAGCTTCAGAATTTGTCGCATACATTTAATCTCTTTTGTCTCGATTGTTTCTATTGTATCGAAAATTTGAGAACATGACAGTCAGGGTCGACATGAGGCGGGAGAGCTGACGAGAGACCGAGTTTTTTCAGGCAGACCGTGATAAGAGCGACGTTCTGCAAGGGACCTGCTACATGACGATGATGATGACAGTCAGGGTAGTGGATTCTTACCTTGCAGTAAGGCTCATGTTGCATGCAGGTTTTCGTTGGGATGTTGCTGATGTTCTTTAGGGTCATGCAGTCATTGGTGGCATCCCCGTTAAAGCAGAACAAGCAGGACAATGAGGAATTGCGGGTCTCCACATTCTGGTAGATCACTATATCATAACGTTCAACTGAAGGAAGACAGATTTTAATGTAAATTATATTTACAATTTGAATTCGGAGCCCTGTGGGGGTAGGGGGGGGGGGCTGAGAGACTCACTGCTTCCTAACAAGTATGTTGTAAATGTGACTAAGGGATTGCTGAAATCGGATCACAGCCAAGCTGTAAACTACAACACAATTGGCCAACCGTGCTTCTAATGACGAATGCTGAAGGAGAAAACGACCAGCCTCTGGTACTTTTCTAAGGTGCCACTTATATCCTGGTCGGCCTCTGTTCCACTTTCCTGGCTTTCTCCTTTTTTTTTCCAGTCCGTCCTGACGCCTGATATGTAAAGTTAACAGTAAAGGTCCCTTTTCCACACCTTAAGATGTTTAGGGCTTATGGGGCTAGACATAAATTTTTACAGACAATCGGCACAAGATGGAGGATGCCTTTACTTTCCGGGACTGCACCCGGACCGACTCAAGGTTGGGTCGACCTGGGAGTCAAGGTAATTTTTTGGGGGGGAAATCCGGCTTCGCCAGGGAGCGAACCCACGACCTTCCGATCCGCACGCGAGCGTCTAGCCGCTACGCCACAACGTCTCCCCGACGCTTAACATGACCATAATATTTCAGTTTTCGGGACAAGATGCTGTGTACTCGCAGATCTTGCCCAATGTTTAGATCTGTTAGGATGACAGTCTGAAGGTAAAGGACCAATGTTACCCCAGCGCCGTACATGGCATATAATGCTAGACATGTTTTTATAGACCAGTCGACACTAGATTGGTGAATAATCAGCATCACACTTGCCGCCTATATTTCTCACATGACATACAACCCAGTGCAGGCCAAGACCACTTTAAAGCCAAGGTCAGTTAAAAAAAATTCGCCCTGATGTGGATTAGAACCCAAAACCTATTGGTCTGTCATGTAACAGCCAGCCACTGGGCTACCAAGGCTCCTTCATCACATTTAAAAAAACAAAGTTAGTTGCGTATCCTTTACAGGACGTTGCAGAACCAACCCTAACAGCCCCTGGCTGTTGTGTGGTTTCTCTAGGCAAGTTACATCCAGTAGTTTGCCATTGCTTTCTGGACGGTCGGCTTTCTTGATACCACTGTCGAAACCAACGTAAGGCGCATTGCCCGCAGCTGGGATCGAACCTGGCATCCCGGCATTACGAAGCCAAGCGTTCGCATCGACTTAGCCACAGAGCCGACTCATCACATTTAACCAAAGCAAATTCTTTGTTGCCTACTGTCATGTATGATTTACACTTTTCACGCTCTGAAGGTCGTGGATCGTTTCTCTGGGCAAAACAGTGTGCTGGGGCACCTACGACAACCATCCACAGGAATGGCATGTTTGTGTATGGCGAGCCGCTTGACATACACACAATAGGATGGAGCCCTTATGCTCGTGGGGTCCGGGACAACTGCCCAGCGGGCAAATGCGTTAAGACAGCACTGATGTTAGCAACAACATACCGGTCGTCTTTACTTCACATGATATTTTCGGACACTATTTTAGGCAGGGTCCAACTGGTATTCCTTGACCGAAATCTGCCTCGATACTGATCGATCCAAAAACCTTCAGGTCTGCAGGTATGAGTCTAGCCGTTGCGCTAAAGCAGCTCCCACACAATTGTATATAATGAAGATTATTCAGGCTTACCCGAGTAACCCACAGTCAGTACATTCATCAACGACATCACCAAGGCCGTCATCCAGGACCTAACTCCATCCATCCTGACAAGGCTTCACGCAACGTCCGTTAACGCGCATGCATCTGTTACCATGAGATTAGTGAGTACCTTCTTGCGGCGTTTTCTTCATCAGTATTCTGTAGGATATCATAAATACCAGTCACTATAAATATATATTTCTGTTCATGATTTAAGCTGAGGTGTAGACAAATGAAAGCGCCCCTCCCCTTTTTTCCCTAAAGAATATTTTCTTCTTCTTCTTCTTTAGCATTTCGAGCCCTTTAGGTTCATTGCTGCAGATATCACTCGCCTCCATTTATCTCTCTGGTTGGCCTTCTCTTTTCAGTTAGTGACACCAAGTGTATGCAGGTCTGTCTGGACATTATCTCTCTATCGACTTCTTGGTCTGCCTCGTGGTCTACGACCATTTATTTGTAAAAATTCATTTATATGAATGAAAAAAAAAAAAAAAAAATATTTTAAAAAGCTATTATAAAACAAATACCAGGAAAAATTTGTTTGTTTTCATAAAATCTAATTAATATGACAAGATTCAGAACACATTCTGACCAAAAATTTTCCCATTAATGTCTGGTTTTTTTTTTTTTTTTTTGGTCCTATACTTTTGAATCATATTTTGTTATGTTGCCCTCTCTCCTCCAGCCCCACCCCGGGATCGGATTGGGGGGGGGGGGGGGGGTGTATTGCCGTATACTTAAAAGGGCATGGAGTCTATCAGCATACTCGAAGGCAACGTGGGAGTCTTGCTATATACTCAAGAGGGCGAGGATCTTACCGGTCAAACAAACGTTAGTCTCCCCACAGAAAGTAGGTCACGTTCTATTGATAACTATCTTGGACTAGTCTAATCTGCTGGACGTTATGGGTGTGCCGCTCTGTTGTTTGCTTTTTTGGGATATCTTGCATTTAGTTGTTTTTTTATTCCGAGAAAGAGAATGCCCTATAAAAGGTATTTTGTGTTAGACCTAGTTTGTCGATATTGTAATAGTGTTTAAGGCGCTGGAATGCTGAAATATAGAAGACGCGATATTAACGGCATTGGGGAACACCCCTAACACCTTGTAGTCTTTTAGATTTCAAACTGACAAGGGAATTTTTATGTGCGCGACAATGCACAGGGGTGTTCGATCTCACTACTCAGAAAATTACTAGAAGTCCAAGTTCAAGTGAAAAAACTCCCAGCCCTTACTGGGGATTGAACCCGGAACCTCTAGCACTCGAGGCGGACACAATGCCTCGAGACCACGTAGCCCTCTCGACACAGTATCTCTGCACGATTAGCACCCTTTTCACATGAGACACTGATATTTGTATTGACCAAAGGGCATTAAATGGGCTATGTGGTCAGCATTAGGCAGGCCGCCTGTACTTTCAAGGAGATTGACAGGTACCCATGTAATGTTGAGTCGACTTGGAGCGAAGGTAAATTTTGAGAAGATTAATCTGTCCAGTGCCAAAAATTACTAATATTAGCTTTAGAAAGAAACACATAAAACACTTTCATATGAGCATCCCAGTGAAAAGTAAACTACAATTTCCACGCGTTCAGGCGTTTTGGGCATATAGGGTCAGGCATACATTTTATAGACCAATCTAACTCGGTGGGTGATGTGGTCGACATCACGCCGGCCGCCTTTACCTCCCAGGACTTTACCTGGTACTCTTTTGAAGCTGGGTCTACCTGGGAGCCAAAATCAGGACCCGAACACATGATCTTCCGATGGGTAGGCGAGCGTCTAGCCGCAACACATCTGAGGTCCCCTATCACAGTGAAATTCACGGTTATAATTTTAGAAAACATAACCACTCATTATGTAAGAAGGTAAAAAAAAGTAAAGATCCCTTTCCACGCCTTTTAGGCGTATCGGGCATATGGGAAAGGCGCCCATATTTTTACAGACCATCAGCACTAGAACTCATTATGTGAAAAAAAAGAACAAACATTTCTCAGTTGTAACTTAGAAAAGTTCGGTTGGCTATGGCTGGTAAAATTGTATATTGGAATTATAACTAATTACTAAGGAGCGACTCAATAAACATTGATGGATACCTTTAGCAGAGAATAGAATCACAAGTTCGGTGCTTAAAGCCTAAATTTAACACCATCCTAACACCAACTAAAAAGCAATAATTTAATGAAGAAGTAATTGCCAACAACTGGTTATGAGAGACCGGCAACTGATAGAAACACAGAATGAATCCAAACAAGTTTGCGTTCGCATTTCTGGTATAGTAAACGAGAACATAAAGCATAGATTGTTCCAACAACCATCTTTGAAAACATAGATCAATATCCCTGCTTGTGTACCAAAACGCCAGCTTTGGCAGCATCCCGCGTTTGCAGAATAGCGAGGTGCTCTCTGGCTGGTGCATTCATCGATCGATCCCCAGCACACAGAGGCATCCTCTACAGAGGGAAGGTCGACTGAATTCTCAATAACACAGCCGAGATATTATTTATTAAAATCCTTCTAAAATCCTTAATATCTTTTCATGTCTAATAACTTAAAAGGCATACATAATTCAGTGCGCAATTTAGTATTAAATAACAGCTGCGAAGATTAAATATTTTTTTTTAAATAATTTTTCATTTTGCAGTGAAAGCTGAAATAAAATGGGATTTTAACAGACACGGTTACGATTTACCGTGAGGTCGATTTCAAGTAAAATACTGTAGATGGAAACTGAGGATGCACACAGAGATAATTGTTCTAAGAGGATTTTTAATACTTTATTATTATAAATAGAAAAAAGTGGTTAAAAAATGGGGGGGGGGGGGGGGGGGGCAGTTGAATAATAATTGCTCCATTGATTTCTAGAAGTGACAAAGGTCATCTGAACACTTGGCACTGGATAGGAATAATTTTAGTGTACAGTTCTATTTGTGTTATATTCATTTAACTTGAGTCCCACGTGTGCTTTCTTTCTCTCTCTCTCTCTCTCTCTCTCTCTCTCTCTCTCTCTCTCTCTCTCTCTCTCTCTCTCTCTCTTTACCCCCCCCCCTTCCCCGCCCAATGCATCGTCATCCCTCTTGTGTTACCTTCACCACTATCTATCGCCTCTGTCTCTCTCTTGTTTCCCCCCCCCTCCCTCATCCCACCACCACCCCGCTACCCAGCCCCAGCAAATCATCATCACCCTATTGTTACCTTTACCAATATCTGTCGCCACTCTCTCTCTCTCTCTCTCTCTCTCTCTCTCTCTCTCTCTCTCTCTCTCTCACTCTGTCTCTCTCTCTCTCTCTCTCTGTCTCTGTCTCTCTCTCTCTGTCTCCCTCTCTCTCTCACTCTGTCTCTCCGTCTTTTTCTCTGTCTCTCTCTTTTTCTCTGTCTCTGTCTCTCTCTCTCTCTCTCTGTCTGTCTCCCTCCCCTCCTCCCCCATAAACATTTCCCTTTACAAAACGATGCACCATATTTTCTTGCTGTGTAACGTTTGAGATTGTGTACTTTGTGCCGAGGTTATGTTGAATCTTACATTGTTGCCAAGGACTTTCGCAACGTCAGCAAGCCAATATATCAATTGTTACAGTCGCAATGCCTGTTTAAATATGCTGATTATTTTAATACCCGGTTGTGGTAGCAAGGACAAGTACTATTATGAACGCTGTATGTTTTTAGCATAGCTTTAGGTAAAAAATAATTCACCAGTTGTTTTAATTCTGCACGGTAATTTTTCAGGTAGCTTTTTCTTCTTCTTCATTTGTCCTAGATCCGCCAGTGACCACACAACTAATGCGATATCATCCTATCACCTGCCATCCCATTGAGCTCACCAAATGTACTCCATATTGTCTTCTTTTGTTTTTTACTTTCCCCTCTAGTTCTTTTCTCCATTTTTTTTTTTTCTGCAATTATTCCGTGGGTTCCACTGCAAAGACGTTGGTGTTATATTGTTATCAAGTTTTTCTCTGTGTGTGTCCTATCCTATCCAAGCATCTTTTTGTCACCTATTTGTTCACCGCAGTATTAGTTTTATCCAAATGCTTTACTTGGATAGGTAGGTAGATAGGTAGGTTTACCTGAATCCATGACCTTCCGATGTGTAGGCGAGCGTCTAGCCGCTACACATCTGAGGTCCCCCATTACAGTGAAATTCACGGTTATATAATCTATACATCATGAAAAGGCAAAAGTATCATATTAAAATACATAACCACTTATTATGTGAAAGAAGAAAAAACATCTCAGTTGTAACTTTGAAAAGTTTGGTAAGCTATGGCTGGTAAAAATGTATACTAGAATGACTACCAGATCCATTATTTACTAAGAAGCGACTCAATAAATATTGATAACACAGCAATAAACACCGGTGACACAAAGTGCCACCATGCGGATTACCCGTGGAGATGTCCCAGAAACCCCTTTTCAGCCTTTAGGCCATATCTATGGTTAGGCCATATCTATGCTCCGGCTATATTTAGGGCCTCCAGGCAGAAGCCAAGGTGGGGCTTCAGATAACACAAAATTGCATCCCACATGGGAACGACCTCAATATCTAACTAGATTTACTTTAGAGAGTCTCAACACACGTGATATCCTCAACAAGTAGTCTCACTTTAGAGGTCATGGCTGTGACTGAAGCAGTAAGTAACATGGCTAGAGACACAGAGTTTCACTGGGGCATGCTTTCTCAGGGACTCGATGAGTGTGCTCAGAAAGATAGAGGAGGGCTAGGTCCGAAGGCAGTGGTTGGTGGCTCTTCAGAATTCACGGCCGACAAGGATTAGTTTCATTTTCGTGCCAGGACATCTGGGGTTACAAGGAAATGAGCAAGCTGAAAGGCTTGCAGGTGAGGTTACTGTGAAAGCCGGACAAGCCATGGACCAGGCTGATATACTGAATGCTCTAAGAGAGTTAAGACGATTGCGTGAACAAACTAAGAATTTTGAATCTGCAACCGTGGTCATATTGCAAGAACAACATGTTAAACGTGGTGTCGCCAAACAAGAAAACTACGCGGGTAGCCAAAGAAGAAGAATAAACCAACACAGAGCTGGTGTCGTTAGCCACTACACACTGCGG